CATATAATATACTTTTAGAGGTTCACAGGAGTAGATTGTTTTATCAAGTCTAATTTCTTTCCTTTCATTTTCCCTAAAATGTAAAAGAGCTGGATAATTAGCCACTGCGAAATAAGTGGTAGGGAATAACCAATGCTCATACTTCGTTAAAGAAGTCACATCAAAATGAAGCTTCAGAGAATGAAGCTGTGTGAATGAAATAGAGGTCAATGGTCCAGGTGCTGACTACATGGGGAGATCAGAGCAAGCAAATTGCAGCACTGATGCTCATAGGAAGGTATGTATTACAAGAATAATTTTGATGGGTTTTTCCCCCTTTTGTGCAAATGTAGTTTGAATGCTGAGCAGTATGAAGAGGGTCTATGAAGTTCGCTTAACAGGAACTTTTCCATAGTTTCTCATAGCCTGACACCCATCTCTAGCTCTTGTCAACAGAAAAACTCAGGAAAGGAGTTTAGCTTGAAAGGAACAGTAGGAGAGACATTTGCTTTCCCTCCCTTCCTTTCCAGCTCAGCAAGCTTAACAATCTGCCTGGTTCTTCAAAGACAGCAGCATACCGTGAAGTTTTTTATCCTTAACTTCTACCAGAGCACATGGGTAGTCATTTACACAACAAACCCTTTACACATCACTTTAATCAAGAGCTGCAAGAGTGCACAGCAAATAGTAACCTAGGAATTTCCCCAAAATGGAGCAAAGAACGGTGTACTTAGTTTGGAGGAGCTGGAATTTGAAGAAAGAGATGCAGCACTGGCAATTTAGTTGTTTGTTTTTCCACATGTGTGTATGTTTGTGTGTGTGTATGTGCAATTAAGAAGGAAGGGGTAAGCTTCCACAGCTTGTGCCATTGTAAATATGATGAGGAGTATACTGCTAATTTAATACATGCAAGGATAACACTTGAGAATTATGTGAGTCCATCTGTCATTGTACACCTACCTCACCTTAGCCATGTGAATTTGTACTACTAACGGGTGGGGTAACTAGAAACTAAGTAATTTGTGGCATAAACAATAGTTAAATCAAAAGGAAACTATTGCCTGGAAATGGGCTTGTATTTGCAAAAATCTAGGATAGATATTTGGAGGTCTGCTGAAAGCTTTGCTTCTAGTGAAATGGCTGTATAACAGCAACAGACTTTTGATGTAACTAATGAATATAAGCACTATTGCATTAGCAGTATGTTTGGGCTTAACATTTGAGGCAATCTGTGCAGAAAGATGTAATACTTCATCCCAGCAGCATAAATTAATCTTTAAATTGGCTAAATGAGGATACCTTTTACACATGGGAACCTCTGCACAGTGCAGAAGGAGACACCAAATTACACAAAACTGAACATCAGCTGTCGGTGCAATGGTAGAATACACTCCCCTCAACTACTGACTGAAAAACAGAAAGGGAAAAAGGAAACCAACAGCTACACTGCCCTGACAGGCTGTTTTCCAGATATTTATAGCAGGCTTTCCAGTTTAGCTGCAGATACTTATTTATAGCAGGCTTTCCAGTTTAGCTCTGTGTTTCATTAAAACATCAGTGGTGAATTTTGTAAAAAAAGATGTAAAAGCATTTTGGTTTTAGTAAGGAATACATCTTCTGAGTATTTTGAAGTGAATCTGCCACTTAGCTTGACTTAAAGGTTTTGGTAAATAAAAACTGTCTCATTATCTTTGTTCCCAATGACCCTAATAGCAGAATAATGCCAGCACTTTAAGTCACCCATGTAGTTAAATTAACTGAAATCTTACACATAAGCAATATGTGAAGCAATTAGGTTATAATCCAGCAGTTATTAAATGTTAAGTACTTCTGTTAGGCTTACAAAAGCTACTGCCCAACATAAGGCCAACATCTCAGATAATGGAGGTGGGGTCAGTGTGCTACCAAAGGCAGCAATCAAATGTGCTGCCCTCCAGTACCAACACACAAACAGCAATCCTCTCACTCTTAATGGGAGAGGGCAAGCCTTGGACACAGCACCAACACTGCAGTAGGTAGTTGATTTTGCCTGCCTATTGCTGTTCTAACAGCCAAAGGTTCCATGCTAATATAGATATCACTGCTTAAATACCTTCTTGGAGCACTGTTGCTTTGGGTGTCTCTGTTCCAGAAAAGAGGTCAGGTGCTCAGTGCCGTGTTTTTCAATATAAAGGAACAAAGAGTACATCCTTTCTCTCTTTGTACTAAAATGATTAAACGGATTCAATGATTAATGTATATTTTCCACGGAATCATGCACAGTAAGAGATTCAATCCTGAGTCTCTTCTATTCAGAGCAGTACTCCCTTGTACAGATTTGTTTGGTTTTTTGGACAAAGATGCAGTAAATGTGTGGGGGGTTTTGTTCACATTTAAAGTAAAGCTGGTTTTAGCAATTTACAGAGTTTTAACGAAATGGAAATTGCGTCCTCTGGTCGTCTCTGATACATGGGAGGCAATTCAGAATTAAGATTGTGCTTAATATAAATACAAAGGCGATACAGTAAAAAGGGGAGAGTTAAATAGCAGCACTATAGGCAAGATATTTAGGATAGCTCTGTTAACAATGATTTCTGACTTGCACTGCAGTTTCAAGCCACCTGACCCCACACATGCACTCTCTCTCAAAGGAACACATCTTGTCCATTGGATTTATCACAGTTCTTCACTGGTTTTCAGCTACCTGACAGTCCTCACTTTCCAGAAGGTTGGAGTCTCTCCCTTTCTGTGGGGTTGCTGCTTGGCTTGTTTTTTGTTGCTGACATGATCAAACAAAAACATTAATTTTCATTAACTTGCTAGGGTATATGTTACACATCATGTACCTGCATTTCTATTTTTCCTGTTTTTAATATTTCATCAGATTGAATCAGAATTATTAGTAAAAGACATTTAATAGCAAGACATTATGAACATATTTTATAAAAAAAACCCCATCACATTTAAGAGTTCCAATTGAAGTCCAAAAAAGTGTGATAAAAAGCCTTACAAGGACTCAGAAAATAATGGTCCTGAGGACCTTATAATAGAAACTTGTAGGTAGGGAAGAAGTCAGTTCATGAGTGCAGTTAGGCCATTTGGGATTTAATAGAATCAGCGGGGTGCTGTACACAACACTATGTTCAAAACAGGGTATTTTATGGGGCCTTGAGTACTTCCTCTTCAACAGAGTTGTTTGGTTACAGATACCATCTCACCATGATGCTGACTGCCAAAATACCTAAGGGCTATTAAATACTTTGAGATGTCCCATGGAGAAAAAAAAATGCAAAGTATTTTACAAACTGTTGACAAAAGACACCCAAACAGTCATAAGAAAAGATATCAGAGCTGCTGAGAAGCTTCTATTCAAAGACAGAAAGTAAACGAAGAAATAATAGCACTTTAAGAAGAGTAAGAATCATCTTGTATTAGTGAGGCCTAGAATTACTGCAATAGATAAAATAGAGCACAGAGAAGTAGAACAGTTTCTTTTGTATAGCAAGCCAAAACCATGCAATTTTTCCATTTTCTTCCTACTTTTACAATAAGACATTTTTTCCTGTTTAAGAAAAACTTTAGGCAACATTACAGATGAGATATCTGGAAAGGATACAAGTGTGACATTAGCCCATGTACAGATAGATTCATTTAACATAGAAATACTTAGTTTGGAAAGGAACAGAAGGGATCTCTGATTCAGTTGTGAGTATAATTAAGATACATATATTTATTCTTCATTTATTACTTTTGATGGAAGATGGTGTTTGATGGCTACAGAAGAGAATGAATAACACATATAGCCTTTCTTGGAAAGGATGTCTCTAACCTGTCCTTCTGTCCTGTTTCAGGCCATTATGTGAGAGCAGCATGTTTACCTGGCATGGGGTTATCATTCTTGGCCTACACTCAATCTTATGCCAGCTGAGGTCCCTTGTGCCATCATGCAGCTGTGCCTCTGCTGGGGACCTTGCCAGAGGCAGTGCATAAGGCCTTGCTGGCAACACAAGCACTGAGTTTTCTCACTCATTTAAAGAGAATTCTAGGAGCTCAAATCATGATAAAAGTTATATATATATATATATAAAGGTTTTATTGAGAAATGCATTGCAACTACAAAAGCATACAAAGGATTTAAACACTATCAATACATAATTAAATTTTCCCTTTCCAAATTTGTTTTGCTTTCATATTTTAGCAAGGGAATGTAAATTTTTAGGGAAGAATCATAGAGTCACATAAATTCTGAGATTTTATAGTGTAATTTTTAAAGTTATCTTGCCCAGATGCACATGAACATGCTTCTTGAAATGGATGACTAGAGAATACCAGGACTTTTCTTCCAATATTCAGGTTGGGTACTTGACTACAGGTCAGTTTCCTCACAATTTCTTCTATACACTGATCCAGGAAAATGGTTAGTTCCCAAAATGTAATTATCTTTTCCATTTTCCTTCAGTAAAAGGTTTTATTGAGAGATGCATTGCAACTACAAAAGTATAAAAAGGATTTAAACACTATCAATACATAAATATAAAGGTTTTATTGAGAAATGCATTGCAACTACAAAAGCATACAAAGGATTTAAACACTATCAATACATAATTAAAATTTCCCTTTCCAAATTTGTTTTGCTTTCATATTTTAGCAAGGGAATGTAAATTTTTAGGGAAGAATCATAGAGTCACATAAATTCTGAGATTTTATAGTGTAATTTTTAAAGTTATCTTGCCCAGATGCACATGAACATGCTTCTTGAAATGGATGACTAGAGAATACCAGGACTTTTCTTCCAATATTCAGGTTGGGTACTTGACTACAGGTCAGTTTCCTCACAATTTCTTCTATACACTGATCCAGGAAAATGGTTAGTTCCCAAAATGTAATTATCTTTTCCATTTTCCTTCAGTTTGGCTTTTTATTGGAAGAGACATCTAATCTGCTTGTCTGACCAATACTAAATTTTATTTCCCTAAGATGTGTGGAGTGATGGGGCAGAGTGAAGGGAAAAACTGATGTGGGAAATAGGCTGGAATACCTACCAGAGGAAATGCTGGGGGGTAAAGATCCACCCCCTGACACTGGATGTGAGGCCAGGATGCTATTTAAAAATCCCGCCCTCAGGAATCTCGAAAGAGACTTCACCCCAATGGTCGGGAAGGATCCTTTCAAAGAGATAAAAATTATCATTAATCAAATGACTTGTTCTTTGACTGACAAAAGAAGTCGACTGTTTAAAAGAAAGAACAACCAAATCTCTGCAGAGTTAACAGTGGTTTCACTGGAACAGATCTCATAAAAAGCAGTTAGAAGTCTTTGTTTGCTTTTTAACTGTCATACAATACACAGCTTTAACCAGAAAAAGATTGTTTTTGGCACAGTTTGCAAATGGAGAATTCCAGCACTTCTAGGAGGAATGGAAAAATTTGGTATTTCAGCAGCAAGTTACAACTATGGGATATTTATAATGCATTCCAAATGACTCTACCATGGAGCCATTTGAACAATTTTGTGTACATATCAAAGACAGACCTGTAGAAGTGAAGTTGTACCAGCAAAGCTGTTTTATATTAGTATTCTAAGGCCACCTGACAAACCACCTGACAAAAGTCATGTCGGGCAAGGGGAAAAGGGGAACTAGAATTTGCATCTGCCCCGTGTCAGGGCAGCCACATCAGTCAGAGCTTCTGTCACTTCTTCCAACAGCTGTCAATATGTTGATACAGACAAAACCCAGGAGTACAAACTGACCCCTTGTTTGCTCTCACCAGAAGCTTAAGACATTTATGCGTTCAGTATAATAAACTGTGTATTCTCATTGACTACATGTACAATTTTATTTCTGGAAACAATGATTATCTCATCCACCTCTTTTAAAATAAGTACTGTGACATATCTACTGTAGTGATGATAAATGAAGACTCTTTTGCATTTGATCCACTGTTTCAACTTTCAGCATATGTACAGAGATCTGGAGACATCAATTCAACTAGCTCATGTTAGTGCTCAGTGAATGGCAGCACCAAAGATGGATCTGATATGAGACCTCTGTGCATCTTACTTAAAAGCACAGAGTCAAGATTGTCCCACCTGGAAATAAATTTACATTGGCAACCAGAATAATCTGTGTATCTTTGCAAGCACATCAAGTTAGCATCCCATTGGAGACTAATTTGTGTGTCTTTGCAAGCACATCAAGTTAGCATCCATCCAAAATTTAGGCAATGGAAAGTTTGTTTTCATCATCTTGCCGGTATTTCATAGCTGTTCTTTAAAGAGACAAAAAGCATCTTGATATTTTTACACAATAAGAAAAATAAATGGTCTTCTTAGAATTAATTCAAGAGTTGGGATTTTTTTTAACTAATCTAATTTGTGTGTCTTTGCAAGCACATCAAGTTAGCATCCATCCAAAATTTAGGCAATGGAAAGTTTGTTTTCATCATCTTGCCGGTATTTCATAGCTGTTCTTTAAAGAGACAAAAAGCATCTTGATATTTTTACACAATAAGAAAAATAAATGGTCTTCTTAGAATTAATTCAAGAGTTGGGATTTTTTTTAACTAATAAAAATATAGTGAGGAAAATTTACTCTCAAAACACATATGTATTTGCTGAATTTAAAGTAGCCTAAGAGAGCTTTGAATTTTTCACTTTTATTTTCAAGCAAGAGTTCTATTGTTTCTCCTCAATAAACTTGTCCTTTAAGTTTGTTAATTAACATGCTGCAGTCTGTGGAAAAAGAATTCATTTAATTAGCGTTCTAGATTGCAGTATTTTTATATCTGCTGGCTAAAGATAAGGCATGAAAGTTTTCCCTCTGGCCACCTCAGAGAAGTCTTTTGCATTCCTGTAAGTGTTTCAAGATTCCATAGCTTTCGTTTTAAAATATTTGCAGAAGTGATCACAAGAGACAGTACAGAATGCAATATACAGAAACTCAGTTTTAAATTGTAAAATTGTTCCATTAACTCTAAGATGTTTGGTACTAAACAGCATTTTAAAACATAAAAGCTAAATAATGAACACACAAAGACTTCCCAAATATATTGTTGCTTCTCTGTTTCAAAATATGAATTATACCAACCATAAAGTAGAGCCACTGTGAGTCACATGCCATATGTACAGACCTTCAGAAAAGCCAAACAGCTCCAGCTTCACCATCAACATTTTCCTCTATTTAAATGCTGTTAAATGACAAACAACTCAGGTTTCTTAGCAGTCTTACAATAAGTTACTTTGTTGGAGGAGGTAATGAAGACAACTCCAAATTTATTTCAGTTATTGTACATATTCAGAAATGAAACCAAGGAGCAACAAATTTTAGAGCAATTAAATCTGTGAATATTAAGAAGAGAGCTAGAGGGCTGAAATTAATGAGGTCTTATAAGCAGCAAATAACTAAAATAATATATATGAATAATGGTTTTCTCTCATACTTAAAAGTTAGGATTCAGTTGCTTAGTGGAAATGCTTTGTGTCATTTGAGATATTCTAGAAAATCTGAGACATTCACATTTGAGGGGCAGACTAGACATGATTGACACTGTTTGAAAATGGCAGTAAGAGGAAAAATGGCACTTGTGTATCTAAAAGTAGGCACCTAGTGTCATTTTAGCCAACTGAATCCCATCCAAACAATCCACTGTCAACTCAGAAATGTCTCTGATTAAACAGAACACAGAGCTACAAGAACAAGACCCCATTTAGACTCTTCTAGAAGTCTACAAACAGCTTCTGAAAAGGACAAGGTTGGTAACATTCATCCCTGATTGGTATCAGGTGCTTTTGGTTTTATCACCTGCACAATGTGAACAGGGTTTGAGACTCGATTACATGACTTTATATGTGGAAGTCGATTATAATTTCAGCTAAAGAAAATTAATTTTTGTTAAGTCACATCATTCAGCACAGAAGGACAGAGGTTTGGCAAAAGCTTTGGGCATTTACAATAGTTTAGAATCCTACTAAAAATTTCACTTGTTTTGCATAAACATTGGTGAAATAGTTGAAAGAATCACACAGAATCACAGCCACAGACAGGGTAAGGTTTGGAGGGACCACTGGAGGCCATCTAGTTAACTGAATTTCTTAAGGAATGACATTCTGCCAATTTACATCTAGCCTACTGCTTTACACTCGTTCTGTTGTTTTGTGTAAAAATGAACACTCACTTTTCTAGAGTACACTTAACGTTTTAGTGTAAGGTCTTACTTGTTCTAAAATGGGAAAAGGAGGCATGAATATTAAGCCATGATTCCTCAGTGCCCTGAAATACAGTTGTTATTTAGCAGCTTACAGCCATGGATTTATTGAGGGAAATAACCCCCAACCTCCCCCCACTCCATAGTGGGGAGATCTGAACATTATGCCACCTTAACATGGGAAACCACATTAGTTACAGATATGCATTGGAAAAGTGCATTGAAACTGTAAAAATATATGGCAATACTCTGAATAGCTGACAGTTCATGAAGTATACACCATTTACTGAGTCCTGTGATACCAATTTATAACTCTGTGTAAATTCTTCTGTTTCACAATAATTACAGCTAAGTGCCTGTGCTCAGAGGCAGTGGGGGAGTGCTGAATCAATTAGCCTGCCTTCCACCTTCAGCTGTTGTTCCAAGGGGAATATCATCCCACAAATTGTAGAATTTGATAGGGAAATCACTGGTATAGCATCCTAAACTGGCATGGTTTTAGTAGCTTATTATCACACTGAGCAGAAGGGCAGAAGTAGAGGGCTGGGTAAAGGAAACCCATATGCTTAGCTCAGCTCCAGAGAACATACACTAATTCACAGGCATTTATTAGCACGGGGATGGCATGGCCAGCCAGGAGGAACAGCCATTTGTCCTCACACTGCAGGGACATCCCACAGTCTCAGGCTGGTGACAAAACTGTGCTGAAGAGTCCTATAAAGAAGAGAAAGTCCTGCCACACAGCACAACAATAGTAATGGATGGATGGATGGATGGATGGGTGGGTGGATGGGTGGGTGGATGGATGGAGAGAATGGCACCAAGCACACATGGTGCAACACTGGTAGACACAATAGATTAGAGTGAAACACACAATGTTTGGATAGGTGGTAGAGGAGCCCTTGTGGGCTATAGTAAAAGCACTTAAAAGCAACTAACATGCACTTCAAAACTCTCAGGGATTGAGAAAGCTGAGAAAACTTAAATTGACCTATTATTTTTGCTACTGAAACTTTTCAGAAACTTTCCCACTAGTTTTGCTCTCCTATGCAATATAGCGTCAGCACAGTGCTGGCTGTCCTCAAGGGCCTGCATTCCATTGATATTTGTTTCTATATAGCCAGTTGTCTTGATGATTTTCACACAAGGATTGCAAAACACAGCTAAGAGAACAGTCTTAGGAACTCTGCAGATGAAGGCTTTGGAGAAGGGAGTCAAAGGGCTATAATGAGCTTTTGCATTCCATTTGTCAGGAACCAATTGGCTGTTTTCCCTCCTCATGCAAACAGGACTGAACATTTCATAACGAAGTACTGGAGGTCAGAATGCAGAAAGAGTTTTCCTGCTTCTGCATAGGGGAATTATCCAGAGTTATCACAATGTCTGGGAGAAGGCTGATTCTGTTACAAGCACCTTCCATTCTAAAATAAAACCTGCTTTTTATTGTTACTAGTGTTTCCTCGGGGAAGCTAAATGAAGGGTTAGAGCAATTTTTCCAAAATTATTTGTAACATATCCATTATGGAAACTACTGAAAATTGGTTGACTTTTCTCTCACATGATTTTATTGATTTATCCTTCCTAGATCACCAGGAATTGCACATTACTTCATAATCTTTTATGGAGGAACATATGGAATGTTTTTATAAGGAACAGCTTTATAAAATTGGAAATTTTAATGTCAGATTACGATTTGTAGACTGTTCAATAGGTTTGACTTGGAATGGAGAGAAAAAAAAGAACAGAAGCAGGGCTAAAATTTATCCTTGATGAATTTGTTGGATCCTGTTTTCAGTATATTTAGAAAACATGGATCTATACAATTAATTTTAACAGTTCTGAATGCACTAATCTGGAGATTAGTACTTAGACTTAAGGTTTAAGCAGCCATCTGCAGTGAAGTACACTAATGTACATCAGTGAACTTCAGTCTGTACCTGGAATGTGTATTACAGAACATA